TTTTTATTTTTTTTTTATTTTTATTTTTTTGATTGGTAGCTAAAGGCTATGCTCAGAAGGAAAGAATAAACTACAATGAGGTATTCTCACCTGTTGTGAAGCACACGTCTATTCGCATCTTGTTAGCTTTGGTTGCACAGTTTGATCTCGAGCTCGCCCAACTCGACGTCAAAACTGCCTTCTTACATGGAGATCTTGAAGAGGAGATATACATGTCCCAGCCAGATGGTTTCAAAATTGCTGGAAAAGAGAATTGGGCCTGTAAGCTGAACAAATCGTTGTACGGATTGAAGCAATCCCCGAGACAGTGGTACAAGCGATTTGATCGGTTCATGATGGAGACAGAATACACAAGAAGTCAATTTGATCATTGTGTATATTTCCGTAAGCTTCCCGACGGTTCCTTCATCTATTTGCTCTTATATGTAGATGATATGCTGATTGCATCTACGAGCAAGGTGGAGATTGACAAACTCAAGGCACAGTTAGCAAGGGAGTTTGAAATGAAGGATTTGGGAGAAGCAAAGAAAGTTCTTGGCATGGAGATCAAGAGAGACAGGAAGAAGGGCACGGTTTGTCTGACACAAACCCAGTATCTGAAAAAGGTGTTAGACAGATTTGGCATCAATGGGAAAACCAAAGCTGTAAGTACACCATTGGCCCCTCATTTCAGGCTTAGTGCTTCGTTGTCTCCACGCACAGAAGAAGAACGGAAGCATATGGCACAGGTTCCATATGCAAATGCAGTTGGTGCATTAATGTATGCTATGGTTTGTACACGGCCTGACATCTCGCATGCTGTGAGTATGGTAAGCAGGTATATGCATGATCCAGGAAAAGATCACTGGCAGGCAGTGAAATGGATCCTACGGTACATACATGGCATGGTCAATCTGGGATTGAAGTTCGAGAGAGATAACCGACTCGGGCAGAATTTGGAAGGATATGTGGACTCAGATTATGCTGGTGACTTAGACAAACGCCGGTCAATAACAGGGTATTTATTTACGCTTGCTAAAGGGCCGGTAAGTTGGAGGTCAACGCTTCAGTCAACGGTGGCTTTGTCTACTACAGAGGCAGAGTGCATGGCAGTGACGGAAGCCTTTAAGGAAGCTATTTGGCTACATGGGTTGATTGAAGACTTGGGAATTGTTCAGAAGCACGTTGAGGTGTTTTGTGACAGTCAGAGTGCCATTTGTTTGGCAAAGAACCAGGTTCATCATGCCCGCACCAAGCACATTGATGTCCGTTTCCATTTCATCCGAGAAATTGTGAATGAAGGGGATATTCTGCTTCAAAAGATTGGTACTGCAGATAATCCGGCCGATATGCTCACAAAGGTAGTTTCTGGGATCAAGTTCCAACATTGT